CCATATTGTTAATTTTACTATTTTCGAATGTCAATAACTCAATAGCTATTGATTTGCGGCAAAAATGAAGACCATATTCGTGTTTAGCTCTTTAGCATGCAAAATACTACTAGAAAATAAGTATATAAAATGTGAACAAGAGACGGGTGCATAAGTTTTAAAAAACAAAAAACGATTGATTTGATATGAGAGGAAGCATTCTTAGCATTAGCACTCTCGTTTGAATGTACTCAATATTTCCAGACCCGGCATAAAATGGTAGAAGCGTTCTAGATCTAGATTCTAGATCTACTTAGGCTAGATCTGCCAGCAGTGTATGTCTAATTCTCAGCCCAGGTTTAGAGGTCGGCCTTCAGCCTGTATTACATCTATAAAACATCTAGAATCTAGATATAGATCTAGATAGGACAGATGAGAAGCGACCCGACCCGGGTGGGAATAACCAACAAAAAAAAACCCCATTATTCCCACCCCCGGCTGGAATACTCACTTCCTATTCTTTTATAAAAATTCTCAGTGCGATTTGAGACTCGGTGGTCATGAACACAGCATTACTTTATATGTGTATTTAGATGCACTTGTTTAGTGTTGTCAGTGCTTGTCAAATGTGACGACTGACGACCGTGTGTTGTTTGAAGTTGCCACTGTAACTGTAGTGTAAGTCCAACTTCTTTTATTTCCCTCAATGTTTTTAATCTGCCTGCCTTACCTTTTCCCTGCTCTAAACGGCCGATGTGTTGGCGATGTGCTTCTCTTAACTCGAAGAAACCTGCACCCATCGCCGCCCCCACCCGCGAGTCCAGTGCCTTTATATAATGTTGCTCTTTTACTAGGCGGTCGGACCCGATATTTCTGTTTCGTCTAGACGAACATTTGTTATTCTGAACATTTGTTTTCAGTTTTACCCCGTATTGTCTTTTTGTTTGCAACTGCAAATTCTCAGGTATTTTCACAAAATCCCAGTGGCATCCCTGTGCAATGGTCTGCTCCTTCAACTTCTTTTTTTTTTCTTTTTTCTTTTATTTTTTTTAACCATTTTCCACATGTGGTTAGACTAGAGGGCGCCACTGGTGGGCCCTACTTTTTGTTCTTTTCTTTCCCACTCGTGTTTCTCTCAGTCTGTCTTACCTTTTCCGTGCACGAAATGACATCGACAAATTATTCGTGTCGATGCTTTTCTGCTCGTTACTTATTATTGAAATCATTGTGCAAATAATGGAATAAAACAACTTGTGTGAAATTACATGTCATTTTTTTTTTGGCGTGTCTTCTCCAGGCGTCAATCCGGGTCCGCGGGGAGCCAAGCCGGGTGGAGATAGAGTCCGTCCGCTCCCGTCTCCTAGACCTGCTGGAGCTGAGTGGTGTGAAAGATGCTGAGATCCCACAGTTTGAGGAGCCACACTCACTCAGACACAGTGGACACGGCTTGACCAACAGGTAGAATAATATATATATATATATATCAGGGTTAACAGGTGACTTTGTATGGTGGGATGTGGGGTGACTTCTCAAAATTTTCATTACAAATCGACTGCTTAGTGAAAGACTCTGTCATGTGGCATTGATGGCCTAGTGGTTAGGCTCTTGGACTTACAACCCTAAGGTCGTGGGTTCAAATCCCTTCAGGGGCCCGACGTTGTGCTCTTGGGAAGGGCACTTTACATGAATTTTCGGACCTCACTTCACCCAGGTGAGCATGGGTATGCAGCTATAGACAGCGAAAGGTCTTGTCAGGTTGTTAGTATTTGAGGGCTTTATCACTTTATCAGCTGCCTGCATTGTATGCTCCCTGGCAAAGCCAACAATGTTTCTGAGTGTTCTGTGATCTACTGGGGTAATAATATACTTGTATTGTGTAAAGCGCATAGAGCTTACTGTCGAGCGGGGTTATGTACTATACAAATGCTATTTATTATTATTATTACTATTATTATCATGTAACATCACTTTTCAAAATGATGTATGGCGGAGCCTATCGCAGAGCAGTCGAAATGTGAACATGCCCTTAGACAAGGAAGATACCTGTGTATCATTGTCAGAATGCTGTCATGTCGTGCATGTCACATCAAACTTTATTCTGTAATTTTGTACAGGCACAGGCTTTCTATGTTTCGTGTTTATGACAAAGTGTCGAGTTGTTAATTTGTGAAGACGAAGTTTTTTAGTACTATAAATGTTATCATTTTCTGGAGTTATTTTTTTAAAATTTGAACTTTTTTATGAACAGAGTTTTAATTGTGACTTCTGTCTCTCTCTCCTTCCCTCCCTCCCTGGTGTAGCTGTGGTGGCATCATGTCTAAGAGCTCCAGCCCCTGCACCCCACAGCGCAGCCGTCGCAGTCGCGGCAGGGACCCCTCCACCTATGCCGACATGCTCATACAGCAGCTGATGGCCCAGGCCAGCTCTGTCACAGACTCCGACACCTCCCCGCCCAGCAACGAGGAGAAAGAATCCTCCTCCTCCTCTTCTGGTACTTCTGCCGCGGCGCAAGCCCTGCCTCTTTCTGTCGAGCTGGGGGAAACTCCTCTCAGCAGCACCGGCTACAACAACAACAATAATAACAACAATAATGATGATAACAGCGGTAAACCTGTACCGTTTCCTCAAAGTTTTTCAGGGTCGGACAATATCCCAACTCTGTCTGTCCCGCCATGCACCCTGTCCCCGGCCCCTACAATTCACTACCAGATCCCTCCCAACAGTGAGACTGAGGAGCTTGGGGAGGACCGGGATGAGCCCATGGTGGATGTGGTGACGCTGGAGAGAGACACGCCAAAGTTCTCATGTGAGGAGGACAGGCGTAGCGCGTGTTACGTCACAACAGACAGTGGTGTCACAGGCTCAGAACATTCCAATGCAGTGGCCTCATGCTGCACCTACGCTACAGTCACCCGCTCAGACAGCTTTGACTTTGCCGCTGTGTCCGGCAATCAGAACGTTACCACGGGTTCAACGCCTGAGCTACCCACGTCGGGATCTTCTGGTTCACTAGACATTCCTTTTGCGTCGCTTTTTGATATTGACTGTTCTCAGCTGTTTCAAGAAGATGAAGAAGTAGTAGAGACATCGGGGACTTGCCAGGCTACTCCTGATCCAACCACTCCTGTCCGCCACAGTGTGTCTTCTCCCACCTCCGCTTCCTCTGGTACATATTACAACTTTCCGACACGTTACTCGCATTCGTATGCGAGAGAGCTACATGCTATAGAGCAAGGTCGCCATAGGTCTCATCAGACAACAATGGTGACCACTCCACAAAGTGAGTTTTGTTCTTCGAGCAGAAGTCCCCTCCCAAGTAGACCCTCCTCGGTACCTTGCGCTCAGAGTGACAGCCAAGACTTTGTGTTTCACGAACCTCTGGTTGTGTACTTACCTCCCAAGACAGAGCCTCGTCCTCCCAGACCTGTGGCTCCATGGGACGACCTAGACTTCAACATCAACAACAACTACAAGCCTCGTCTAGGGGACAAAAACGCTGCTGAGTTTGACTCAGACGATGGGCTTGATAAACGACCGCCTATACCCCCACGGCGGCCTATCACAGACTCAAAGATTGGCCAGCTTGTGTTGAAGTCTGACTCGGCTCAGCTTGGGAATCTGTGGCTACTGTCAGGGAATTGTGGGGAAATGTCTCCCTTTTCACGTCAGTTCTCTTCACAAAACAATGCCGGTGGCAATGATGACTCTCATGTCGAGGTCGATGACTCTTATCCTCAGGGCGCCACTGGTGGGCTAGGACAAAACTCTCCGGACTCTTCCTGGTCATTCTACAACTTGACCAGTAGTCAGTGTCGCCCGGACATCTCAGGCCACAACAGCTCAGGCTCTAGCCACTTCATCACTGTCAGAGACAAGAAAGTCGGGGATTCACCGGAGCGTTCGACTGTAGTAATAAGTGCCTCCAAACGCAGGAAAGCGAATGACAAAACAGCTTTGCCTGTTGAGGAAGAAACTGTTCTCATGCGATCAGCACGACAGAGGTTGAACTTCACACCAGTGACCCCAGCAATGGAGCCAGATTCCTTCTCAGCAAAACGGCTGACCTCCAGTTCCTACGTGAGGACTCCTGTCAACAGACTGTCTCAGACAAGACCCCGCAGGAAGAAACGGCAGTCACCCGCCATGAGAAGACTGGCTCTGCAGAAGGAGAATTCACCTCAATCTCCGTCTTATCTAGCCAGAAGTCCCCGTAAACCGCTGAATGACCTCTACAATATCGTGGGAAACGACTCATGCTTGTTGACGACTTCCTCAAACAGCCTCACTCCTTCCTCCGAGACATACGCCAAGTCTAGTGACACATCCCCTGACACACCGTTGCCCAGCAGAGAGGAAGATTTGCTGGACAGAGACGCCTACTATTGTGATTTCACTGTGGACAGACAACAGAAGATTGAAAGTGCCAAGAAGATGGTGGTTGTTTCGAAAACAGAAGATGTTAATACTAATATTGATACCACTCAGAACACTACTTTTGATGACTCGGCACCAGAGCTGCTAGTCCGGCAGGTTGAAGGTGCAGAGAGTTCTCCCTCGAGCTTTGTCTTTCAGATCCCATCATCCCCTGTGAGGATGAACAGACCTGTACGCAGACAGCCCTGGGTCAGTGCCGGTCAGCGTCCTGGGTCTGCCTCACGTCAGCGTGCGGGGGGTCCACAGGGTCTGGTGTCCAAGCAGAGGTTGCCATCTGGTGACCGACATAGGCCGAGATCGTGCCACGTACGGTCACCTTTATCTCAGGCAACGCCGGCTCATAATGTTCGTTCTTCATCACAATCGTCGTCTTCCTCTCGCTCCTCCTCCCGCAGGAAGTACACCACTCACCCGATGGCATCCTCCACTCTAATCATGGAGTCCCCAGAGGCAGACACTGGCAGCGTGTATACATGGTCTATAGATGAGGAGTCCAGCTCATGTAACTTAGAGAAGTCGTACCTACGCAGCACAAAGAAACCAGACAAGGGTAAATCTTACACTCCCAGGCCAGCCACATCTGTAGGTCGTGATAGTCCAAGCCGTGATAATTCCCAGACAACCAGTACCTTTGAGATCGGTGCCATGGTGCATGCAATTGATGAGGCAATGCAGCAAACAAATTCGGAAGCCTTCGAGACTTTTTCCAACGAGACAATTATCGGTGGATCATCGCTGATGTCGGCAAAACCGAAGTCTAAGCGTAATTATTCGGCCAAAAAAGTTCTCGCTGCTGCTCCTTCTTTTCTTAAAAAGCGACTCAGCATTACACGAGGAAGTTCCATTGCTTCATATGGCTCCCAGCTCAGTGATCCCTCTAGCAATCAGGCCACCACATCTTCTGCATATTTCAACCAGGCTAAAGTTTCCATTTTCGGCTCATCGATGGAGCCCAGCGAGATGGCAGAAAGCCAACACCAGTTGTCTGACAATCCCGCACGTTCTCGTCGTTTGTCGTACTCTGAGCCGGTTTTACCCAACCATTATTACGACGACTCTGATGAGTCGCCAGAACAACCGTCTGAGGCATCTGGCTTAGGTGAGCGTTTAGACATCCCAGGCAAGTCCAGCTCCAGCAGCAGTAGTACCAGCGCTGCAGCCAGATGTAGGCCGCGCACTCCCAGAATCAGAAGACAAATGCAGAGAGACTTTACAGCAGCCACAGAATCTGAACAGTCTGTAGATGTGGAAGCCAGGGCAGGAGCAGTAGGTGACGTGAAGCCAGCAGCAGCACCAGCGGCGAACCAGGACCTTCTGGACTCCATCCTGACAGACAGCCCCAAAAGCGTAGACTCTAGCGGCATCTTCGCCCCCTACAACTCATACAACTCCCCTGTGGAGAGCGTCGGTTCTCACAACGGTTACTCCAGCACGGTCAGCAGCAGCGTCACCTCCTCCGACTACAACACTGGACGACCGGGACTACAGGCCCCGCCCCCAACTCCACCCCTCTCACGCCCACGGGCAGCTAGTGTCACGCCTTCCGCCACCCTCCGCCACATGGGGGGGCAACACACGTCACATGCTCAGTCTGATCAGGATGACCTAGAATTCAAACGTCCGTTTGACCCAGTCCCCCACAAGATGGCAGCTCAGTCACGATGTCTCACCAAGAACCAAGGAGTGAGTGCCAGCTCTATTGCTATCACCCCCCAGAAGCCCATGTCTGTGCGCAGTGACCCTCTGGCCAATCAGTCAACCATTTTTGCCGTACCTCCAGGTGTTGTCACCGGTCCACCAAAGATCAAAGACAAAAAATCGCTGGTTCGTAAGCTGAAAAAGTTTAGCAGTAATTTTTACAAAAAAACTGAAAAAATTCACACCCTTGCTAACTTGTAGTTTGTTTTGGGTTTTTTAAATTCTTTTGTAATATCTTTGTACATTTTATACGTATGGTGGGCTGGAATGCTTCACATTTTTATTATACCCTCATAGTTTCACTCAGGAGAAGAAAATATTTACTTATTTCAATTTGAAAAGATTTATTGGAACAGATTTAGGTTGTTGAATGGGAGACAAGAAGTTTTGTTTCTGTACATATATAGAAATACATTGCCACAGAGTGAGCCTTGGTTATTGTCTTTGTTCCAATGAGTGTGTGATTACACTTGGGTTTTGTCTACATAAAGCACAGGGTAATGCTCTATGTGACTATATACTATACACCTGTAACAAAAGGGCCCATATGTGACTATATGCAGCATACAGGCTTTTACAGATTCGGTATCGTTTTTTACATATATCCATTTAATTTGCACATGTCAGATCATTTTATGTACAGCTGTGAAAACTTGTGTGCTGTTTGATTATTCCAATTCATGCACGGAGAAGTTATATGCTATTTAAATATATATTATACCTGAATACATAAGCCAAGAAGGCAAGATAAATGTATGTTCATTGCCATAAACTGTATGATAAATTTGTGTTTTTGTTGCAGGAAGTGAGGGGGGGGGGATTTTTTTTTCGTTTACTTTCTGCGTGATTACATATTTTCCCTATCCTTTAGAAAGTTTGAAATGCCAAGTCTCAGATTTAGATTATTTCGCTTTTGCAGTTATTTATTGAGCAGTATGTGCTCATAGATGGGATTTGTTTGTATTCAGTCGTTTATTTTGTTTTTTTTGGTTTTGTTTTTTCTGAAGTCATGTGAAAAGTTTTGACAATCAGACGGACTGCTCAGACTGCAGTGTATTGTTAAACTTACTAAATATTTATTTTGTTTTTTTGCTTTGTTTTGTAGAGTACGTGAACACATACCATCTTGTTGGCTTTGTTTACCCATGAAGCTGGCCCCTATATTTCACTGGATGAAGAAAACATTCAAGTTGCATTAGCTCTGATTGTGAAATCTTTGTTTGTATATTTTGATTTTACTGACCTTGTCTGATGGAGCTGTTAGGGCTATATTCAGAGGAGTGTTTTCAAATTTCCTGATGAACAAATTGTTTATGAACCAATAAAATATATTCTGTGTATGTATTCAGATCTGCAAATTACAATAATTTAAATGGTAATGATGAGGTAGTCTCCAGCCGAGATCCTGGTACCGTACATGAGATTAGGTTATAATTGTGTGACGGATGTTAGACAAATAGGATCTAAGACAGATTAGGGGGAACAACCAATGATCCAACAGAAATAAGTCACAATTACATCCCCATATACTCTTCCTGCCCTCTCCTGTCTGCTTTTCGTAATTCATTCACACTACAAAAATGAGGCAACTTGGAACTGGTGAGAAAAAAGGGCTAGATGGAAGTGCAATGCAAAAATATCCTCTCTCTCTTGTAAGGTGGTCAGGGAAGGAATATCAATGTGGTGGTAGCTTGTCTGCAGGTTATAGAATCCCTCCCATTCGAAATTGCCACAAAATTTTTTGGTTTTGCCCACTTACTGCCAGTGGACTGAAAGTCAAAGTGATCCATGAATCACTCTCCAGACTTTACTATCTATAGATCAGATTTTGGTATAGTCAATGGTCAAACCGAAAAAGCAGAATCTTTGGTTTGTTGTACCTCACCAGAGAGCAGTCAGAGCGAAGAGGAACCTACAAAGATTAAGAATCTCGAAATTCCTCGCATGCCTACCAGGAGAATTTTATGTTTGCAAACTCACTGTACAACATGGTCTGTGAGACCAACTGTATCCATGATGAAGTCAACTCAAGATAATGGCCATTTATGAACAGGAGTTTGACTCAGCCAATGGTGCAATAAGCAGATGTGTTTTACCTCACCAGAGAGCAGTGGGGGTAGGGACTTTGCATACAATATTTAAGATAGGAATGGAGAAAAGCTGGAGCTAAAGCAAACTGGGACAATATGGTGGTGGGATCTTTGGTGGAGACTCCTGTTATATGCACAATTCTGAAAAACTTTGATTTCATAGGCTCGTTGACAAATGGTGAATTCAATTATTAAACCATCATTTTCAAAAAAAAATTGTGTAGTTTTACCAAATAATTAGGCCCCAGCTATTTCTTTCGACTTTTGACATATTTCATGTACAACAGTTGGCTAATTTTGTTATAACAGTCAACTTGATTTTCTTTCTTTCGATGGTAGGCCTACTAAGAATACTGCAGAGTTATGTTATTTAAATTTTTTTTTTAATTTCTAATATTGTATTGATTCAATATATAGATCTATTTTTTCATTACAGGGAGAAAACCTGTTTTTAATTTAGATATTTCTGACAAATTAGTGTCGGTAATAATTTGGTTTAGGCTGATGATTTTATAACAATTTTCAAATAAATTTTTTTTGTATTGGTTTGTACAGGCCTAAAAATTTTGCAATTGTTGGACAAACAATTTTATCTATTTTTGTTTTAAAGGAATGCTTTTAGACCAATACTTACTATAATATTGAACAGCAGATGCTGATGCAGTAAATTTTAGAAAACTAAACAAGTTTTAGAAATATCTGAAATTGTCAGATTTTGTATAAATTGTAGAAATTTATTCATAATCATACAAGTCTTAGGAATCCTTCAGGATTTCTTCTGCTCCAACTGATTATTGTGCTGTTCGTAAAGTGTTTTCAATTCTTTTAGCATTTCAGGAAATCTGTCTTCCCTGTCCAGAAAGAAAAGGAAACATTGACTTTTTGTCCTAGGTTCTAGGGATTTTGGTCCAATTTTCTACTCAGAGAATTTCTGTTCAACTAGATTCTCTTTTTTTTAAACTCTCAGATTGTGTTTTTAAGTTTTGTTCATAATGTTCTCCTTGATAGAAAGGTGAATAGAAAGATGCCGTAGCTGTAGTTAGTTTCATGAAATCTAGTGACACTGAAGGGGGATCGAATTTGACAAAGTCAAAGGAAGCAAGTTTAGCGGATCTAGGCAGAATTTGAGTAACAAAGTAAATTAAGGCAACTGGGAAAGTTCTTGTTTTTGTTGTAGGACTGTTGCTTGCACTGAAAAATGCTTTGATTCTCAGCAAAGATTTTGATACACCAATCATGGTTATCTGCACAAACAATGGTGCCAATACACATTCCAGAATATATTTATGTTTATTTGGTTTTTAAAAACTCTTGATTCGTTCTTGAACCTGAAATTTAGCAATAAAAGTTATGGAATTTTATTTTGAAAGGAGCTTTTAATTTAGAGATTATATTTTTATAGTGAACCTTATAGGCAAAGTCGGTGTCTCAGTTTCTTTTTCCTCATATGGGGGATTGGGTGGGGGGTGTATTGTCTTTAATAATTGTGGAAGGAGAGTGCTCGGTCTTAGGAACAGCCAGGTACTGAAATTCCATTGCCCCAATTGATTCATGTTTTTTAATTAAATTTTCAATTCATTTTTTTTTTTGTGCTACTGGGTTGTGCTGGATGCACAAAAGTCAGTAGTTGTGTTTGGTCAAAGATAGTACATAACAAGATGGGCCACTTCTCTCTTTGAGCCAATTAAAAAAGTGTCCTCAAAATTTGGTGGCGCCCTCTTCACAAAAGCGCACTCTTTGCGAACAGAGTTACCCTACTTGAGTTATAAAAAATCAAAGTGAAACTAGCAAGTTTTGGGATACATTTCGGAAGAACGCTTTTTTTAAATGGTTACCCTGACAAAAAACCTCTTCCGGAGGAAAGGGTGATGGTTTTCTTCGTTTAATTTGACTTTAGAATGAAGGGCGAGAGGTCATTAAAATTTTAAAAAACTAAAACTCCGCACTGAACGTACCCGAACTGCTGATGAACAGCAGTCGATCTGCGCACGCAAGGAGGTGCTATTCCTGTTCTTCTTCTGGAAAAACGAAAGAGAGCTTCAAAACAGACTGCAGCGCCATCTGAAGCAAAGAGCATACTTCCTGCGGACACTTTTTTGGCTGAGTGGCCCATCTTGTTATTTACTATCATTGGTTTGGTTTAACTTTACAACAATAAATGCCAACATTCACAGGTACATTTCTTTGTTTTGTGTTTCTATGTTTGACAAACCTGGGGTTTTTTTTTAATTAAATTAAAAAGTAGGTCTTGATCTATAATAGGCCAAGTAAGAGAGAACACTTCAAGCTGTAAGAAGCTAGCTTAATTTGCAAGCACCACTAAATTATATTCCTCAGCATGTAACAAGACACTGAGGAATATTAATATATATATATGCTTGTTCACCAAGCTTTTTAAAGCATGAAGGGTTTTCTTTTTTCAGCCATCATGAATCTTGCAGCCTGCCCTGCTGTAACTGGTTCTGGCTGGCCGACAAGACATGGGATGTTTGAATTGTTTGGCCATGGCTACATCTAAAAACTTGTCAAAAGTGACATACTGAAAGTTTTATGCTCTAAGCGTGTAACTCGTTTCTTGAAGATTTTTCACCATTCAAACTACAAACAAAAATGTTCTCTTTTATTAGTAGTGAGAGTAGACACTAAAGTTAGCCTACAATACTAGTACACTATTTGTGAGGTGAGCTGATAAAATATGTTACTTCTCGCAATCTACAAATGGAGATATTGGCCAAAAATCGACTCTAGGGTGAAATTTGTAGATTTTCTATTGATATCGTATTCTTAAAATACAACATGCCTTTTATTATTTCATACTTATAAATTGTAAAAACTTCATCTAGAAGCGTGATGTATCCATAATCCATAGGGCTCAAATCCGAGAAGTAACTCGTGTTGTCAGCACGCTTCACACAGGTAGTTTTTAGAGCATGTCCATATTTTGCTTCCACTTCCAGTTACAAGAGTAAAAGATTAACACCATCAATATTGCTATATACAGTTGAACCTGTGTGAGACGGCCAGGTAATGTCAAGGAGAAAAGTGGCTGTCTTAGGTAGGATTGATCGAAATGAAGAAAACTAACCATTTACTTCAGAGGTCCCAACTGGAGGTGGGCGCAGGCTAAGGACTGCCCTAGGGCCGATTATAATTTGCTGTTGTTGTACAGTGGAATCCTGTTATAACGAGAGGGGCGGGACCGGTGCGAAATGTCCGTTATTATAGCAGGATTCTCGTTATAAGGGATCAAGTAATAAATTTAAATTCAAGTCAAGGGAAATAGTAAAGTAAGCCTAATCTATGAGGTTGGTGTTCTGTTTATTCCTTTTTGTATTTCCCCTGATGATGATTTTATTCAACATGATCTCTAGGTCTTACTTGATCAAAAATCGAATCAGGTTTCTTTCTCTAGCACTAGCAATGTTGACAGCTCGGTGTTTGCGATCAGAAAGAAGGGGCTCTGGCTGTAGGCAAACTTGCCCACTGTGTTGTCCCCCACCACACCCTGTGGCACGTTGCGTCTGCTTGCGCACGTCACACATTCACTCCATCTATCACAGCATTGTGACCTCTCCATCCTGCACCACAGAAGTGAGAAGCAGGCTATGCCTAGATAATCTAGACTGGGCTGGCCTATCATGCAATAATGCGTTCTGCTTGTCTGCACATTCCGCACCCTCCCCACACTCAATCGCTCCGGACTTCATTGTTGGTTTGCGTGGGCCCTCCCGTTCTTTGTTTCGCTGGATCACCATCAACTTTCTCAACTGGCAAGGTTTTATATGTTTAATTGGTCTGTGCGCTGTGCACAGCAGCAGCAATATTCCGTTATAACCGACTCACGTGACTGTCTTATTGCGCAATAGCAGTATTTTATTTACAAAGATAAAGAAGGGAAAAAACCGGGGTTTTAGAATAGTGTCTTTATAACAGACTTCTCGTTATTTCAGGACTCGTTATAAGTGGACTCCCCTGTAGTTGTTGTATTATTTCTTTTGAAAGGGGGGAGACGACAGGACAGTTTTTGTGGGAATGTTGTTATTTAAAAAAAAATTTTTTCATAATGATGGTTCCAAGAAAGGTTAAAACAAAACGAAATGTTTGAGACGAGGAAGGCAAAGTGTCATAGCCAAACAAACAAATGGGTCGCCAGCACTCGGCGAACAAGCACACTTCTGTTGCCAGTTTGTGTTGACATCCATTGTTATGGACTGAGTTTACGGACTGAGTTGTGGGTTATGACGGATCAAACGCTTCCTTTACCAGCAGCTGAAAAAATTCATTGTTACTCATTGGTCAACTTGGGTAAACATTGGGAGTGACCTAAGCAACATGACCCTTTCATCCATTCAACAACCACAGGTGGATGAATTATGACGGCTTGTCTTCAGCGTCAGGGGAAAATGCATTATTTTTTACAAAACCTGGCCGTCTTAGGCAGGTAAATTTGGCCGTGGGTTGATAAAAAAGGTGTCCTCGGCCACATTGGACAGGTGACCATTTTACACAGTTAAATTATATAGAAAAAATGGAAGGGGGGGAAATGGAAAGTGGCCATTTGTACAGGTGGCCATCATGGCAGGTTCGACAGATTATCTCAAAGAGTAATTAGCGATACATTTGTATTCTCATTATATTGCCAGCCAGCTGATAAAATGTACAGGGCCCTAAGCTTTTATTTGAAAAAATTAATTGCAGTTTTTTAATCTGAGGTATGGATTGCTGTGTGCTCATAAAATATTTTGTCGAAATTCAAATTCAAAGTGTTGAAAAAGGCAAGGAAACTACATTGTTGTAGGTACAACAATTATTAAAAGACTGAAAGTTACTTTTCTCTCTCCTGTAAGATTTTGCTTTCATGGTTTAGCACATTTACAGCTTGCCCAATATGTACGGTTATCTTTGCTGTATCAAGTTGCTTGTAATATAGGTGAGAAGATGTCAATAAAAGTCGATAAAAACCTCAGCAATGGGAAAGGAGCAATAGACATCTGGAGAGCATTGATGATGCTCTAAGTATTCACACACAAACTTCCCACAAGCATGTATGTCATCATCCTCACTCGGAAACCAATAGGCTAGCAGTCAAGTAATAAAAGAACACAAAATTTCATTTTAAACTTTTTAAAAAATTCATTTTCCAATTTATTTTTCAAAATGCTAATCACTGAGAACAAGAAAATATTCACACAAATCATATTTCAATACAGTGGTCTCTGTTCAAGATAAGAACACATAAAGGAAAAGCCCAATCCACCAAGAAGTCTGCCTTTACTGCATTATAATACTTTTTTTTGTACATGTAATTTACATGCCTCAGACAACGAAACAGTTCTAAAAACAATAAGTCACCTTAAAGAATCATTTCTGAGTCTCCAAATGACTGGACTCTTAAGCAGAGACCACTGCATACAATTTTTCAGCCTCATGCAAGATAAACAAGCCAACACATGCACACAATGATCTTCAGCCTCTTTTGAATACACCAATGAACTTCATACCATATTCTGAAAAAGAAGCCTCATACAAAATGTCATAAAACATCATACTCCTTCCAAACTCAATCACTGTATCACTCATACTCATCACTATCCCTGATGGCCACAAATGTTGTCAGCCAGCCCTGAGGGCAAGATGTACAAATGAAAAATTCCATCATAATTATTCCAGCCATTTCCCCGTAGCAACACAGTAAGCCTATATTATTGGGCCAACTGCAAACTCCATATGTCACGTAAACAATCTTGATGCGATGCAAACTTCTGGCACACAATCATAATAAATACAAGCTCTCCAGATCACGATGCACTAGCACTGAGCTTTAACCTCCTCACCAAATCTACCAGGTACAGATCCTTCAAGGGCTGTGGGGGATAGAGTTCTTCTTCAAGAGCTTTGGCTTTCTCAACAGCTTCGTACATGGGTAACCCTATCCATTCTGCTTCTTCCGCCTGCAGGAAAGTAAAACACAAAGATATAATTAATATTATAAATGGATTATGAAATATAGGCAAGCACAGATAGCTCAAACATTTCAACTCAAATTCACAGATAGTTTTTAAAAAATATGCCATTCCCTTTCTTTGCATTGTCAGCACTATTCTCAAAAAACACCCACTATATGTTGTGTCATCAGTGAACCCTGATCAAATTTTTCTTCACAATTGTCTTGAACTTGAATTTGACCACACATCCTCACTGAGAGTTATGAGATAACATGAGTCCACCAGGTTCACGCCCACACAGCATGATACATACACAACGGGTATCGAGACTCATCACCTCACATTTCCTGGTGTGTGTGTAAATCACAAGAACTTAATCGAATTTAGTTATATATTATAATATATGTGAGGGTGGGTGCTGAGAGGTGGGGTGTGAGTGTGATCAAAGACAGACAGTGTGGCACTGCATGGAGCCATAGGGTGTATGAATTATCTATGCGGGTGTGTGGTTGTGGGAATGAAGGTAGATGATATATAGATCAGGAAATTATTACACAAGAGGGGCGGGTTGCATGCTCTGACCAGTGACAATTGTGCTCTGACATAAAAAGAGAGATTTTTTAATGATGGAAGGCTCATCAGCATCACTCTCTTCATTTCTCTTGCTTTAATACCGAACAATGCCAACACACTATCCATCCTTCTAATCTGTCTTTTATTTTTGATACTCATTACAGTTCCCTCCCTTATTTATTAATATTCTCTCGTATTTTTCATCTTATTTTTTATACTATAGTTTACTCGAATTACCGATGTGTCAAACACATTTGTCAATCTTCAACGTGTTCGAGATGTATCCAGGCATGACTGTAGATCTATACATGATATGTGGGGTCTATAGTATAAAAAAAATACAATTTCTCTCTTCTCTTACGAAAAAAGACTGCACATCAAACTTTCAGGTCTCTTTCCAATTAGCAGTAAAATGCACAAAAAAACTCTCCGTCGTCAAATTATGACAACCTCAGTGGTTAAACATCATTCAACTCATCACATTGAAACAAACAGGTGAACAGTATCATAATAAACATGCAAATCCCCGCTTTTTCCAACTCTTTGTCTCTATTAAAAATTATCGGCAATAACAGGGCCTCATCGGAGTCCAATTGGTTATAATAGCAGGGACAAAGGCTTGTTAACGATGTGTGTAAAAACAAAGAGAGAGAGAGAGTAACGCAGACTTCGATCTAGCCCCTAACTACACGCATGCGTAGTGCGTCACGCACAGGCCTACCATATGGCCAAAACCCCTGTTTGTGGGTACTTGTGGCAAGGGAAACTACCCAGTCATAAATACAGCTGGATTAGTCCACAATAGCTTACTTCCCTTGCATTTCTGATTTAACAGGATCTGATATAACAGAACTTTTTCCTCTGATCCCACCATCCCTGCTATATCAGGTTTCCACTGTACTCAACCTCACTTCACCTGAATGTCAGACATACAAAGATTGATTCCACACTATAGTTTGTTGAGCATGTGGCAATCAGTTCATGATGAAATTTATACATTCTGCTGCACTAAACTCAAGACACAGAAACTGATTATCTTAAAAAACGCCAGGCTCCAGTAAGTGTGAGTTTATTCTGCCTTAACTGAAATAGTTATGTCCCTCTCACAAAGGCTGAGGTAATGTAAAAATAAAATAATGCAATTCTACAGAGCAGCATACTTTATGACCGTGCAGTTTACAGTGGGGATGGCATTTGAGACAAAGAGGTGATTAGTGCGAAGCTTTTCAAGTCACACCAAAGGACTGACTTAAGAGCAAGATTATTCTACACTTACCGGAATCACAAACTTCTCATATTTCTTGTAAATCTTCTCCTTCTTCACCGGGTTGTCTGAGTACAGGGACTTGTTGGCGAGGGCCAAAAGCATCTCTCTCTTCAAGGTCATGGCAAGTCGAGAACACAGGTCGACTTCATGAGTCTGGGGGGGTGTCAAGACATGAAGGGCCATTAGGCTTACAGTAGAAGGCACGGTGGTACCAGTGTGTGTACAAGAATGTGCATTGTAAGCCTGTCTATATTATTTGTGAAAGATTTTTGTGAGGGAGTGTCCCAAAGTTTGCTCTGGTTGACCATCGAACATACAAAACATCTCCATAACATTTCATTTCCTATACTTCAGATAAACCCGAGAGTAAGTGAATCGACATTATTACATAAGAAGATAACAGCAATAAAATGTATCAACAAATTCGTGCAGGTCCTAATTTGAAAAACAAACCTAAATGACAAGAGTTAGGAGATTTAAAAAATATTACCCTCTACAGCTGTCCAAAACAGCTTTTTAATTCAACTGAAATGCTCAACACACAATCAATGAGGGCTTTAGTCAGTCTATCTTTACAGGATATTTATGCACATGTTATTTATCTAAACAGAAGAAAGACAAGAAGGTAAATGATCGGATACACAGGGAAGTTAACATGACTTCAACTAAATCAGTACAAAATATTCAGTGGAAAAAGTTCCTTTCACAAACATAATAATACATCAAGTAGGAAGAAAAAAACCCTGAGAAATACAAAAAGACTGAAAAAAATCTAAATATTACAATGCTGTCAAATTAAAGCATCTTCAAAGAATGGGTTGGGCTTTTTTTTAAATGAAGCAACAAGAAACAAATGTATACATTACATCCGAAAATGAGACAAAAAGACAATACTCGCAATCACCTGCAAGATGTAATTATCCAGGCCAAAAGCTTCATCAATGAGGTACTGGGCCCGGGCTGTGATCATTATGGCCATGTAGCGGTCCAGAATCTCGCTGTACAGAACTCGTTTCATTAGTTCAGGCAGCCATATCCTCGGCCTCCTGATTAAATACAAGGCAGTAAAGATAAAATTATTACATGGACTTGCTGATTAAATATAACACAACACTCTCAAATACACAAAGTCTGTCCAGACAAAAATTTTTTTTTGAAGCTTTCCAGAAATGAACATCAAGTACATTTTTTAAGGAAGCCTACTCAAAACCTTTTTTGTACGATAGCTCGAGGTGATATTTATCTCTCTCTGCTAATTCAGTATTGGACAGGAACAGGTTTAGCATCTACATGCTTTCTATCTAACCTCTAGTCTATCAAGAAAGAGGTAGCCTAAATGAGTTCTTTCCTATTCAGGCACATGTGTCTATAGCCTTACCAATTATAAAAATTGAGATTAGGCTGACAATATTTTTAATCAAGTACAGTGGAAACCATACATAACAGGCCCGTTAATAAAAGGGATTTTTAAAATCCCCACCCCGTTTTTTCCTACTTTGTCTCTATTAAAAGTTATCTGCAATAACAGGGCTTCATGGGAGCCCAATCAGTTATAGCAGAGACAAAGTTTCGTTAACAATGTGTAAAAAGTAAGAGACAGAGAGAAAGAGAGAGAGAGAGAGAGGGGGGAGAGAGAAAGAGAGAGTAACGCAGCGATGGAGCAAGCCCACGCAAGCCACGTCACTGCAAGCACACACAGCAGGGGAAGCGAGAGAGGGCTGCGGTGTGCTGCAGACTTAGATCTAGCCCAAAGCATAGCTACACGCACGTTTAATGTGTCATGTGCAGGCCTGCTTCATGGCCAAACCCCTGTTCGTGGGTACTTGTGACAAGGGAAACTACCCATGAATAAATACAGCTGGATTGGACCACAAATGCTTACTTCCCTTGCATTTCTGATTTAACAGGGATCTGATATAATAGGACTTTTTCTCTGGTACCACCATCCCTGTCTGTTTCCACAGATGATAATGTCAATAATAATAATAAGTGACATTTGTATACCACAAATTCCTGCTCAACAGCAAGCTGTAAGCATTCTACACTCTATTATATATGTCTAATATTGATATCATTACCCCGGCAGACCTGATAGCTTTCTGAAACTATCTCAGCTTCCAAGGAAGCATACACGGTGCAAGCTGAGTTCCACAGTAACTAAAACAATAACACACCGACAAGATCTACTGCGATATTAGGCAGTACAATAAATGAGCTGAACCTACTCACGTTGGCAATTTTTTTTGTCTTTTCGGGTCGACCTTGGTGAAATAACCAAAAATGATTCCTTCCCCTCCCCAGAGGCCTGTATTGCACTCCTTCGGGTAGACCACAGGAATGGGAGCATTTATCACCGGAAACCTGGAATAACATTGAAAGCATGAAGACAGAGCCAAAAAAACAATCCAAGCAACAATGATTCAACAGTAAAGTCTTTTCCATGGATATATTCCTTCACTAGGAAGTGCCTGATTTGATAGAGCTATAGTCATAGTAAATAGTAGTCACGGCGTCACTTCTCGTCCAATTCTGTGACTTTGAGTTAGCATGACTCAGCATCTCACCGGAGCTCGCCGGCTCAGGGTAATGGAAATAATTAGCCCTGAAGAGATTTTGCTGGTGTTGGTTAGGAACTTCACATTTTTGTCTACTTCTGAAATGGTATAATAATTTCTTCCCCATCTAAGGCAGCAAACGATTACACTGATATACTGTCTGTACTTAAAGCTCACTGTTTTGAGATTTCCTTCTGAGTTGGAATGGTTAATTTCTGAGCCTTAGTTTTTGTTCTAAACAAGTGTTAGTAGAGTACCCAATTTTTCCTAATGTTAGTTACGGTAAGCTTGCCTAAAGCACGCCATAGAAAGGCACGCTCCGCTCAAACGCACACTTTCGTCATAGAATGTTTGTTTTACTATATAATCTAGATGTACAAACGCATGGTCACTTTTTCTAAACGCACGCTCCGATCCGTGAAACACGCTGACAGGTAAAGCTTGAAAAGGGGAAATTTTCACTGCATAAGACAAGCCTAGATGAGACAGAGATTCACACAGAACAAAGACAGTGATGGAAAGAGTTTTCACTCCTAACTTTCCACGGACACATAGATCTAGGACCAGTCAGGTGATATGTTGGGGAGGGGGGGAGGGTCTGAAATGTCTCCTGATTGGTCACTCGAAATGTGTCTCTTAGAGAAGGTTTCTGACTGGTGTTTGAGTTTGAGTGACAGCATACATAATGTGTTTAGTTAGACCTATGATGCGCAACACGTATGAATGCTCTAAAACATTAGAAGGCCTCTTATTAAAATTAGTAAAGTACCGTAATCAAATGCGCTCGAAGAACATATAACGTACCTGTTCAACGAATCACAAGAGAATAGTCTGATGTGATCGATGCATTTATCGAGTTGCAATAGATAACAGGAAGTCGGGATTGGTCGCTTGGAATTGGAAGGCTGCGTGGCTGAGAGTTTTTCCTTATGACCAGATCTATCACGAACAGTTTCCCCTTATCTGTTCCTGACATTTTACAGTGCATTTCAGAACAGTGAGTCCGTTTTTCTATGCCCCCCCCCTCCCCCCACGCATTCAACACCTTTGTATTCATAATTTATAACTGCAGTCGAAGAATCTTTCACAAAACAGTCACGTGTTATCACATAACAGGCCAAAATGATCAATCACCCCCAAGGAAGGTCACTAAAATATCAAGGAAATGAGAGGTTTGCGTCTCTTCCTCCCTTTGCACAGGTTCATGTAAAGCACATTCCTTATAAACACACGTTTAGGGGCCTCTGAGTCTGTGTGTTTAGGCGGAAACTACTGTACATACCTATAAATAAATGATTGTTTATTTAAAAACTGCTCGATAGATCTCTCCAAAATTTGTGTTAAACTGACTACAAATATCACGTCTTTTACAATGAGAAATCTTAACAGATGCACATCTACATTTTTTGACAAAATACACTCAGCGTTGGCTCTTGCTTTACCATTTAATACACAAGAGAAAGGTACTCTGCGCTTGTTCATGAATTATGCTGAGTCTGTGGCAGCCTGCGTACAAGTAAGGAAGATATGAGAATTTTTTTAAAACACAAAACTCTTTAATTAAAAAGACATGGGTAAAGATAAACTTCTTGTATGGATTATAAACAAAGGCAGAGAACACACTCATTCTTAGTTCTTGTGTTGGAAATATGCCCCGGCACTTATTAATGTAAAGAAATCATAATGTTGTTAGACTTTGCAAATGGTCATAGGAATGAAAATAAGAGCTAGAAAAGTCTGGTGCTGATTCAGTGTCACTTGTAAGCTAAAATTATACTGAAAAAAACCCAGTTACTTCAGTTATCCCCTTTCTTCAGTCAACTTACAAAACTTACACTAAGCGTATTAACAAAAGCAATGAATTTCTGGAGTGTAACAGATACTGTTCGTGTATTGCACTGTAAATGTATTCTGGCACTAAAATTGATTTGTTCTTCTTCACAGAGAGACCACAGCATAAATTTTTATCAACTTTCCATGAAATATGCTGCTATATCACGATGGTATTAGAATTAGACACAAAAAGTTATATGTGAGGGAATTACTTGTTAGAGAACAGTGTGCCAGATGATAAAGTTGGAAAAATACAGCTTTCTATTGTCTACGCAGATGTATCTCCATCAATGTTATGTCGTTTCATGTTCCAAAAGGTCGGTAATTTTTGTTTCACAGTTTTTTAAAATTGTGTCAGAAAAATTTCACAATTTAGCATTGCCGACTTCAGCGCGTCTAACGAAATAACCAGACAAGTTACAATATCAGTTCTTTTTTTAGTTTCAGTCTGAAAGTAATTTCTTAAGTATCACAGCCTTAACCTTGTACTACTGTTTTCTTGTTTTAAGAGTAACATAACCATTTTACATACTTCATTATCAGAGAATTTTCTGGAAAATAGATTGCAGTAGCCTACTTGAGACAGTATTTAAGTTGCGAATTATTACACCTTTCTTTGAAGCACAACTCAACTATACAAGCAAGTAACATTTTCTAACTAACCAGCTTTTCCTTCTCAAAAAATTGAAAGCAAACAAATAGGAGGAAAAGAAAAAATTGCCAATAAGATTAAACCTTTGTCCAGAATCAATGTCCTCCCAATATTTTTGTGGGTCCGGCCGCCAATGAACTGGCTCTGGTTCCTTCGTCATAAACTCTCTACAGCTGTTCTTGTAATGTTCTGGTAGTATTCTTTCTTCCTCGGGGGACCAACGATACACGTAAGGCACTGATCCTGTGAAGGAAAATTTATTTTATAAACTTATCAGACATAGGGAACCATGAAGACAACTGACAACTCCATAGAGGACCATACAGAACATATACTCTTGGATGTTGCTCCAGAGGAAAATAGAAGCCATCAACAATTTTTCTCTGCTCAGTCTGTTCTGGACTGGCTTCACTGCCTCTTTTCAGCCTGTTTTACAAAACAATGAAACATTTAAAAGTCTTGAGCCAATCACACCGAAGAGATAATGAGAAAAACTTTAATCTTTCATACTTTCAGTTTCAATGCTGTACTCATCACATTTCAGTGGAACTTGGATTCCACGAAAGGAGTTGGACTCCCCATTTTTTTATTTATAAAAACCAACAAATATAACTCGGATTCAACTAACACATACTACAAGGGCAAGCTCGGATTCAACAAAGTCACTTGCTGGGTGAACAGCCCCCCGCTGACGTGAGCCTGTTCATTTTTCTCCTGTAACGAACCGTATCTTCTATTCCAGGAAACCATCCATGGCACCTGCATCGTGAACCATATTATTCTGTTGGCCTATAGTTTATTTTATGAGACCTATCAGCGGTCTTCTTTCATACCAACACATGTGTTGTTAGCACGCACACATATGTGATTTTGAGCGAGAAAGTTGAATGGACCTAGATCTACGTGCTCCGTGCCTGTAACTAGATCTATCTACATATAAAATCCTCATTTCGCACAGTTGGGTAACGCTCGGATTCTATTAAGTTTAATTGAAGGTCAGGCCAGAGGACTTCGATGAATCCGAGTTCCACTGTATCCAACAAGCTGCTTGTGTGCCTTTAGCAGACTGAAACTTCTATCCAAAAACAAAAAGTAGGCCATCCTAACCCTAAAGTTTAGGTTAGGTTAAACAAGGAGAGACCTAGATCTAGATTTCTAAGAATTTAGGAGGTAAACTGGCCCTTTTTCGCTAGTTCCCACCCCGCAATTATTATTCACTGGTTTTGGCCCCGAGAGTAGGGGGGTTTCAGCCCTGACCTAATAAAAATATGGAGGGGGGGTTTAGGGGGGTCTGCCTCCCTGAATTTGATCATAAATTGATGTTTTACAGTTAGGCTTGATATCTCTCGCTCACCACACATCAAACATAGCCTTAGATCTAGATCCAGGCCCAAATAAGCAGGGTGGGAAAAAGTGCCGGTAAACTGACATTAGCCAATTTGCCTTTTCTTTTCCAAGTAATCCAAGTCGCTCCTGGGGAGACTCTCACCAAGGTGGGTATGAAGAAACCTAAGTCAAAAAAATAATAGGTAAGATGGAACTTTGGTGGACCCAACACTGAACAGAGCCGGAACTACTTTTGAGCTTAGCTGTGCAATGCTTCGCTCTTATATTATTGTTTTGCATTAACTCACTGACACACTGCTCCCGCAGCATAGGCCTACACGGTCTGGTAAAATTCGCGTGGGGGACCGCGACCGCAGCGTACGCGGGTTCAACTATAATCAATAATCGACTATAAAGTAAACTCAGCAGTTTAAAAATGCTTGCAAATAGTCCCAGTGGTTTAAACAGGATGTATATCGACAAGTTAGTTCTTTGTGGTGTGTGTATATTCAGCACTTTTAGTGTAAATAAACGGGTTATTTGTCCAACGGACTGAACAACTGAAAGTAAGGAACTTCTACGCAGTTCGTTGTTGTTTCTCGTACGCGAAGCATGGCATGGCGAGTAGTGTCAAAGTTTATTGAAACTCTCGATAATTTTGGTGAAGATTTAAGAGATAGTGAAGTATCAGATAGATAACTTCATAAATCAAAATGTGAATTCGCCTAGCCCTAGCAGTGATGAAGATGACTGAGAAAATGACATTAACTAGATCTAAGTCTAGACCAACATCGTCTCTCGATTGTGAATCTGACTCGTCAGCGAGCACGCAGCCTGGAGCGGCTGGGGATGATGATAGATCTAGCCCCAGTACTAAACTCTAGTTCAAATCAGCCCTCAAAGTGGAGAAGATATTTAAATGTACCAAGACCTGGGACGATCTATTGACAGATCTAGCTAGATCTAGTCCAAGATCTAGCACAAGCAACCAGGCTCACTGTGGAAGATCTAGATTCTAATATTTTTTTTCCTTTTTCAAAATAGATGATCACTTACATTTTTCTGCTACTTCACTGTACACATTCATGCTTCATTCTCCTACACATAAACACACACGGCCAAAACCATTTTGCTTAAAAGTTTATTAACTAGATCTAGTAGATTTCTGATTTGTCATATCCCTTCCTTTTTTTTCAAATTTTTTTTTCTAAGGCAAATTTGTCCCAACTTTCTGTCCCATACATTTTTGGGTCGTTCATTCTTCACAAAATGTGTTTATTGTGTCTGTTGAACCTATATTTTATTAAATAGTACAGAAAATTTCAAAGAAATAAGATTTCATTTCAATTTTTTGTGAATTTTTAAAAAGTGGGGGAAATTGGAGGTCCTCTGGGGCTTGCAGGCAAATCGGGGCGTGGTGCCACAGAGTAAATTGGAGCTCTTAAAGTTTGTGAGTAGATCTAGCCTCTGTGTGCTCGGTGTTAGTGCGTTCGTGAACTTCCGACGCACGCCTCTCCCTTTGCCCCTTGTTGTGTGGGGGCGGGGGTCTCTCTCTCTCTCTCTCTCCCTAACCCCCGTCCCCCGGATTTATGTTCCCCGAAACAAGCGTATTGTATTTCTGCTTGAGTTTGTGTGCATTTGTGGTCTACTTCTCTAGAATCGCCTGTGTTGGTTCTACACCGAAGCACAGGCTAGCCTACGTCTCATTCAAAACACGCCAAGTTGAAGTTGGTAGCTCTAGATGTTCGTCCAATTAAATTAGAAAACAAATTGACCCACTTAGACGTGAGGAGCTCAAAAGGATAGCCAGGAAACACGACAAGACTTTCATTTTACTGCAAACAAAATCTTTCAAAGGAGCTTGAATTTATGTAAAATGATATTCCCTGATAAAGTTTTGAATACCATTATAAAGGTAGGCAGGTAAAAAGAAGAATTTGAGTGTAAAACATTCGGAAATTGACCTCTCTATAATACTATTTTCCTTTTGACCCCAGAATGTGTGTCACTACTCGTTTTATATGACTTATCAACTTATGAAAGGGAGTTAGTTAGATCTAGATCCAACTTATCCATGTGTTCGTCATACATTAAGAATAGAAAGCTAAAGATAGAGCGTTGTTTTCAGAATTGACTTCACACCCCGTCACCTGGACGTGGCGATGGACACTACCGCGTCAATAAAGTCAACTGCCACCGCTTCACTCAGTGGCAATCGACACCAGCCTCAAATAGCCATCCCGTCACTGCCTGGCAATTGATGCTACCTATTTTAAATTATTGTTTCCAGAGGCACCCCCCCCCCCCTGAAACTCCCCACTAACAGAGGGGACAAGCCCCCGGCCTGAGTGAACCCCCCACTGAACTGACTGAACTGTTGTACTGTTTTAGCTAGATCTAGAATCTAGTGATTCTAGTGCGCATTGAATGTAAACACAGTGGGTCCACCAAAGTTCAATCCAGCCAAATAATAATAATAATAACTTACTCCAGTGATTCACCCACAGTCCGGGGGTTTTGATAAGACGGGATGAAATTGTGAACCGTGTGTTATTGTGATACTGAAAGTAGGTGACCTCATGCTGGACCATGTCCTTGTACATCTTGATCGAGGGCATAAAATGCCGAATTTTGACCTTTTCCATTTTCCCTGTTCTCTTATTGGTTAAAAGAATAAATGCTACCACATGTGGAAAGGAGAACTGCCCAAGCACAGTATCAAATACAAGTTGAAACTCTGTTTTCTTGAGCGTGCAAACAGCACAGACAGCTTCTTCGGTTTAGCAGTTTTAGCAAAGTGAAATGTGAAGTGAACATATCAATTATGATATTTCAACAAAAAAGATTTACCCAAGGAGCGGAAGTCGCTCCATTTCTATTTCGCTTCTTTAGTTTAATTATGAGAAAAAGTATTTCATAAATGATTTTGCCTCCAATGCAACTTGCACGTTTCTTTAAGTATTTAATTGACCTTTGTCATTTCTCCTAATCTTATTTTGAGTAGTGCACCCTTTTTTAGCGTCTATCGCTTGCTGTTGCAGGGGCTTTTTCGATTTTATCTCTGCTATGAAAAACAAGATGGTGCGTTGTTCGTTTTAGTGTACAAGTATAATAGGCCTACGTGTACAGTGTTCATCATGTATGAAGGCTATTTGTCAGGGCATCTTTCGGAGCATGAAAAATGAAAACGATTATAGTATGTTCACTTTAGTTTGTTTGTTTGTGGTGGTGAGTGTTTTACGGCGCTCGCAATTGCATAAGGCCATATGAGCGCTCAAGACACATATCAAGCTTTTTCAATTGGGTAGGAGTATTTTGAATTTTGCTCGGGTGGTGGCCGAAGCCTACTCTTATCGAGACGACATAACATGATTAGAGAGCAAGAAAGGAGGTGAGGGTTGATGAGAGCACCCGTTCACTTTCGTCTGACCGCGGTTCAAACAAGGTAAAACAAATTACTTTCTTTAATCTTCCCAGCTTTTTGCATGCGGGTCAAAAAGTTGCATGACCAATAGAATCTAAAGGCCAGTTCACAAGGTCCCTGCGAACTAAGGTTCCTAAACGTTTTCTTTGAAGTAAGCCTAATGCGGATTAGAAAAATAAAAGGAGATTTACAGCGTGTTCCTGAAACCTTTAAAAAGTCGACATATTTTCATCAACACAACATTTACGATCCAGCGTGTGGCTGAGCACTTTTTTAGACACGTGGAGACGTCGAGCACAGTCGTTGGATGAAATCTGCAAATTTACACTGAATTGCGAGAGCAAGGTGGTGTCGCTGTCTCAAAATGAGCAACTTGTAAGCTTAGTTACTGTAAATCATTCTCTGCTTGTCTTTCTCTCTCAGTCCTCGGTTCTTTCTTTCTTTCTTTCTTTCTCCCCCCCCCTCTCTCTCTCTCTCTCTACTCTGTCTGTCTGTCTGTCTGTCTGTCTGTCTGTCTGTCTGTCTGTCTGTCTGTCTGTCTGTCTGTCTGTCTTTCTGTCTGTCTGTCTGTCTGTCTGTCTGTCTGTATGTATGTATGTATGTATGTATGTCTGTCTGTCTGTGTGTCAGTCTGTCTGTCTGTCTCACCTCTATGCGTCTTTACGTTGTTATTAGTTTTATAAATATCTCTCTCGTTAATTAATTACCTCCCCACACTGGACAAATAAAACTGGTTTTATTTGAACTAGGCAAAGCCTGATTGCGCTGTGGTTTCCGCGCTTTCGACCAATCCCCTTGGGGGCGGGAGGGGGGGGATAACAGGGAGCACCCCAATCCCCCCTCTTTTGAGGTTTTGAAAAGGGTCCGGGGTGCGGGGTGCAATTTCCTGTTTTTTCCCCTATAATTTAATTTTGATTTTTTGCAGTTGAGTTTGAAATTTTCTTGAAAATATTTTATTTGCGATAGTTTTAGTGTGGCCACGTGTGTAATCTGCAGCAAAAAAATACATTTGTTTGACCTTCAAAAGCAGAGCATAACATGTGTATGGGAATGAGAAAAAAAAATGTACCGGCTGCCCTTGTTCCTAGTTACTTGTACAGAGGGGGGAGAAAGGGCCTTGCCTTAATGCGCAGAGGACGATTTTTCGTCGAGGGACATTGTCTTTACTATAACCTTTTTTTGTGAGCCTTTGAAAATAATGCCGAGTGCTCTACTAAAGTATGTAAATCAAGAAAATCATTCGATCTTTGATCCGAAGTAAACAACCATAAATAACATTCTCTCGACAGCAAAGTTTCTATTGCAAACCGATACGCACCAGTTTACAATTACAATTCGAACTCTGGCCCTTTTCCCCTTGTTTTGCTTGTTCAAGAATACATCACTTTTGATCTTATGAGGGCACAAAGGGTTCTTCTCTATTTTGATGCAAATGCCTTTGCTGCTCTCATCCCAAAGTATTGGTGAACATATTGACTTGTTTTGTGATAAAGCGGTTAGCTTCTTTCAACAGCCCGGATTGGTATTGCCAGCAGTCCACAAAAGAATATTGATTACGTAGATTTATAGTTCTCTTTTTTTCGTTGGGACGTCACATTAAGTTATATAATGACAAAGCTCCAGAAAAAACGTTTTTTTTTAATAGTGCATTCGGGCTTAACAAAAATAGTTTGAATCCAAGAATCCAAGTTAACACAATGTTAAGAGCCGTTATTAGACCCCC